CTTCTTTCATGGCCTTGTCCCTGAGGAACTGGGCATCCAGTGCCTGGGAGTTCCTACTCAGTGATTCATGGTTGTAGTGAGCCGCATCTTGTTCCGCCTTGCGAGCCTCACGCTTAATTTCCGCTAACTTGAGATCCTCTTCTCGGACTCCGCCTTTGTATCCTCGGTTGCTTTCTTCAGCAGCTTGCTTCTTGAGACGTTCTTCCTTCTTGAGCTCTGTTAGTTTGAGATCCTCTTCTCGGACACCGCCTTTGTAGCCTCGGTTGAGTTCCTCCACTTCCTGTTTTTTCATTCGCTCCTCCTTTTTGATCTCGGACAGTTTCAAGTCATCTTCATTCACGCCACCCTTGTAGCCGAGTCGCATCTTGTTTGCCGCCAACTGTTTTTGACGTGCCTCTTCCTTGATGGCCTTGTCGCGCAAGAATTGAGCATCGCAGCCCTGTGACGCCTTGCTCAGACTCTCATGCATAAACTTGGCCGCATCAGCCTGGCTCTTTCGTGCCTCGCGCTTGATCTCTGCAAGTTGGATGTCAGTTTGATTCAAGCCACCAAATTGAATCTTGCGCATTTGCTCGGCACAGTCGCTCTTGCGCCTGCGCTCCTGTTGCTTGAGGGCTCGTTGACGGGCTTGAAAGTCACCCAGGCCCATGGGAGCTGCCGTGTTGGTTTCGACTGTCAAACGAAATAGATGTGCATTCATGCAATCATTAGAGTTGAAAACAGTGTATCTGATCCAAGCAATGGTCCACTTACACATGGATGTGTCCAACGGCATGTTGCCTTGCTTTCGATGGTCGTGATGTGGTGATGGTACGGTCCGATAGAGACTGTTCTATTCGGAGAAGACAACCTCTGTTGTGGTGATTGTGTGCCTTGTGGAAGCTCCTCTTGAGCTGTGCAAATTCAGAGTTCTTGTTGCCTCAGGTTCCGGAGAGAACCCAACCTCTTCTCATCGTCTTCAAGGTCCTGTCAAGGTGGTGGTCACGGGAGGATCCAGTAAGATTGCGCAAGACTTCAATTCTGTGAGCAACATTAGTTCGGCTTGTGGGGGACGTGGAAACCTGTTCATCGTGGAGATATTAGCAGCTGTGATACCGTCACCTCAGGTGGAGGCAACCAGCCAGCTGTTTGAGATTGGTTCCACCGGAGCTGACCTGATGAGCAAGTGATGCGTCGTTTCAAGACACAATTCGATGCGGCTGCCTACAAGTCGTTGCGGCTGCCTATATTATCCCGACAGAGTGCGAAGCAACCCCACTGGGCACAAACCGCAGGAGGTGATGAAAGCCCGGCATTGCAATGTCTGATGCTGACCATCAAACGATACTATCTCGGGCTTGGTATATGCTGGTATTGCGGCGGCCGATATCTTGGGCTTGGCTACGGTTTGACATTGCGGCGGCCGCCAGCATCAAGATGGTCGTCGCGCCGAGGGCTCTGGAACAAAGAACGGGGAAGTGGTGGTGGCTTGCCTAACTTGCTCTGTCACCAGTCGTGACCTGGGCGATAGGAACGGATCATTGTTGTGCTGTCGTTGAGTGCTTCGAAGCGTTTCGAGTGTGCTGGCTGGCTATCGTCACCATGCACATTCTCTTCCGCGACGACTCGTCACTCGTTTCTTCCGAGATCGCATTTGCGGTGGAGTAAGGAACAATAGCAGCCACATTACCATGCACAGGAGACCAGGAAAGAGCACCGGTACACCATTGGGAAGGCTAAAGTTACTGTGTATTATAAGTTGTTACCAAGGCATAGCACGCATGCGCTTTGAAGCTATCGGAAGCCAGCCACAGTTAACTCTACTTGGGAAAGCTACCGGTAGCTGTTTTGTGCTTCTGGTTGCACCTTTCTCCAATGAAAAGAAAACCGCTCAATAGTGGTCTTTCTCACTGTTAGCATGCCCCGAAAGTCTTCCTCCGTAACACCCAATCGAAGCCATGGAGCCAAATCGTCTTGTTGTATATCCAGGCTTGATGTCGATTCGTTGGCGATCACGATGACAGTGCAAGTCTCACTGGTGCTCCAACCAGCTTGGTCTGTGGCAGCAACGGAGATGTCATAGATGCGTGTTTTGCCAAGAGATGCATCACCTGTCCTGCAGAAGCCGCCGCTCCTTGCATGTGACTTTGCATGACATGTTGTTGGAGAGACCCAAATTTCTGGAAGCTCTATCCCATTGTGTTCAAACACAAGGCCCTTGACCATGAGTGCATCACCATCATACTCATCGCTTCTGACAGAAACATCCAGCCTCACAGAGTCGGAGCACAATTCCTGTTGAGGGTGGGCAGCAATAGAGAATCGATGTAGCTGCTGCAGAAGAAACATTACATCCATGACAATGACACGAGGATAGACTACTTACAGAAATGTTGTAGAAGAAACCAGTATTGACTAGCTGGCTCCCAGCATTGCTTTCTGCCTGCATCACCAGCACTTTTCTTCCATATTTGAAGCCACAACTCAAGGTCGGAGTGGTCGAATCAACTTTCAAGTGGAAGTGCCTTTCAGCCCCGAAAGCTGAGGGGGCACCATCGCAGTAGTGAATAGGAGTTGCTTGGAATGTATGCATGCACTGCTGAGGTTCTCCTGCATCCATAGCTGTGATGTTTAGTTTCAAATCAGAAAGAGGAGCACAGTCATCTTCAAGTTGAAGAGTCCGTTTCAGATAGGATACAGCCTCTGAGTTGCTCTTAAAAGTCATGTCAGGGACGTGCCAGGCAGAGTGAACATGCTCTAATGATTCTAGTCTCCATTCCTCAAATGCGGGAGGCACAAGAAGCTCTGGCGGAGAGAGATCCTCTTCACAGTTGTCGCTGATGCCATCCCCATCTTGGTCCAACCCATCACACCCAGCAAACTTGGCAAGTCGTCGCCTTGCGGGAAACCTTATCTGGCCTAGTCCGGTCTTCAGGTCAGCAATGCCTTTGTTCAAGATCTTCATGTTATCATAGACAACATCCATGTTTTGATAGATCTCGTATTGTTGGTAGTTGCTTAAAGATGGTATGCTGTCATCAACAGTGTTGGCAATCTGGGATTGAAAGTTGTTCAGAGTTAGCTTGGATCAAAAGGAAGTGTGCATGTCAAAGGATGCTTGGCTCACTCACAACTTGCATGACGCTTGAAGCTACCACAGCAATGACTGATGCTACGTTTTTTACCGCTGCACTACCGTGGCGTATTCAAATGACACAGAATAGGTGAGAATATGGGGAAATGTACATGCCTCGGAACACAAATATCTCTTACCATACTGTTTGAACAGCACCAGTGAAATCAGCAGGACATTCAAGGAAGCCTGCAATGTCTGAAACTTGCTGGAGACCCGTGATTGTGACCGTTAGAGCTGACACCTGACTATCCAATTTTGAGAACTCTGCATCCGTGGTATCAGCTGCAAATGGCCATGGCATGGCGGTTAGTTTTTTCAAGTGTGCATCCACGATACAGCTCAGAGTGACGCTCTTACGTTTGTCTGGTTCTGACAGCTCTGCCTGTTTTGCCAATGTCACGGTTGCGTATGATGTCTTCTTGTTGCCTTCCTTATTTGATGAGGATTTGTCCGTGTGCGCAAAATGATGGTTTGTTCTCAAATCTTTCAGGTCATCACAAATCTCGTGACTATATTGCACCCAAGCTTGGGTTAGTTGTGCCGGATTCTGTTTGGGTTTTTGCTGGGTTTGCTGATGTCATCAGACTCACTCATTTGGGTAATTCTTATGGAATCCAAAGTACTCCCGAACAGACCCACACTCTGACAGACTGTCCCTTTTGGCGACCTGAGGTGCAGTGGTCAGATACTTCTTGTCTGGGATGAAGAAGATGAATGGGTAAGGAATTGAATCCTTGACAATGCGGACCACACATATTCTGCTTACAGCCATTTTTGTTGTTTTGTTTTGCCCAATCAATTTCACTTTGGACGCATCTGATCAGGCTAGAGCAATCCCTTGGGTACTACAGAATGAAAGTTATTGTGGCTGATTTGAGTCATGTGCTTCCTGTGCTTACAGAGACCAACCATAGGACAAAACTTACTGAGCACCACTTTCCAGACCATGGGTCACAGGCAGACTGACTTAGACCCGCCAGGAGGGGGGCCTTATTGTTACATCTGTCTACCCCTTGGTCACACGAATAGTCATCACCCCAAGATGTAGCTACTGATGGAGTGTCCATGCAGCACCACCCAGGGACAGTATATTTTGGCCTTTTCTTTGTCGCCTCTGCAAAGGCACTGCACAAAGCTCACATGGTTAAGTACCTTCACTTTCACCATTCATGCAGACTTATTTTCTTTTCTTACCACACCATGCCAACAGACCTGGATCCGAGCTTGCGTTGAGAAAACGAAAATTAACAATTCATGGAAGGCTTCAAACTTACATCGAGTCTCCAATTGTCATTCGCATGGCCAAGTCAAGTTCGCCAGGATCATTTCCAAGAAATAGCCCATCCACTCCAAAAGAGGTCCAGCCAGTCTTGCACACATCCCAGAAGTCATCATCATCTCCTACTATTTTGGTTTTGTCTGTTGGACAATGCGCAAACCAGGCACCAATCTCACAGACCTGCTCGGCTGTGCTGGTTTCAGTGCCAATGCCAATGTAAACCTTTTTCATTGCACCATCTGCCAGCACTTGGATTGGGGGATAGTCAACAGTCTCATTGTATCCATCTGTGAAGAGAGCAGTCTTTTGTTTTTTGTATATGTCTGTTGGAAGGAAAACAAATTATCCATGATTTAGTGTTCCAGCAGTGTCATTAATGGCATGGCCTGGACCAGATGACTCACCAACATAGATAGCATTCACTCTTGCCACACAATCCTCATCAATGTCTAAGATATCTTGGAAGGGCATGAACTTGCCATCCTTGCTGCGGGCAACCTTCATGGGGTTTGCTTTTTTAAAGCTATAATGGTGTCTGACATCATTTTCTAAGGAGTTACCGGTCCAAAAGGATTCAGTGGCGGCACCATGTTTATCTTGGTGGATAGAAATTGGCAGTTGTGGAAAGTTGTATTCATCAAAGAATGTATTGTCAACATCGCCCTTGCTATCCTCGATCGTAGAAGCACACCTCACGAGACTGCCACAAGAATGAGATATGAACATGGCAACTGCAACCATTGTCTCAGTACCAAAGACTCACTCATCAAAAAGCCTGTTCGCAATTCCTTCACCAATCTTTGTGCGAACCTTTTGCCACATGAAAACAGACAGGACATAGTTTTGAGTCAGGAAATAGTATTTGAGTCTTGAAGTCTAAAATCAGAATCAAGGTACACACCTCATCAATTTTCACGAACTTTGTGCTTCAGGGGTCAAAAAGTATACCAAGTTTTTGTGAGTTGAGATCCACGATGGATCGTTTATTTGTGGTATCTTACCTCCCTCGTGCTCGACAAACTTTTGTTACTGTTGGACCAACATATATAGTGTAGTTCTCCTTCTTCTCGTTGGTGTGGAATTGTTGAAGCAGACTGACACATGTGCTGTCCATGTAGTCATTTTCCTTGGCCTCCTTCATGTATGATGTGATACGCTGTACGTGTGCATGAATGTTGTCGGTACCATTGGCGTCAGCAAGAAACATCTCTGTCTGGTTGGGAAGTGTGCCCTTATCCTTGTCAATATATGGGCCATAGTAGTAGTTGACAATATCATACAGAGAAAACTCTTCGATGCATCCTATAAGCTTTTTGCATTGTTGGTACCGGTAGTCAGGTTCATCCTCCAATCGCCTGTGCGTCCTCTCACTTGTGTGGTAACTTTCCATGTCGTCAGCCATTTCATAAATGAAATCAATGTTGCCAGAGAAAATGGCATCATGCTGAAATCAAAATGTCAGCAATTGGGGCATTGATGGTGTGCATATGTGTAAGTGATTTTGTCTGTCTTACCATGTCAAAGTGTCGGCGAAGTTTTGGGTGATCACGAATGGTTTCATGGTGGGTATTAGCCTTTTTCTGCCAGCCAGTCCATTGGTGATGGCTTTGCTCTTCATTACTACTGTATTCTTTGAATTCGTTGTCATCCTCACTGTCCAGCTCATCATTGTCGTCATTATCCTCACTGGAGCTATCTAGGTGTCTCCCACCGGACAGCTGCATATTCTGCATGGAATCTGATAGCTCCAGCACTATTTCTGTGGACTGCAAGGAAGCCACTTGAAGTTCAGTCTTGATGTGCTTGAAGATAGGAACCACATCGGGATGCAATGCTCCTTCAGCTTCCAAACTGTCAATGATCCCACCCAAAGAATCAACAGCGGCGCCAAATCTTTCAACAGCATCCAGCGCAGTCTCAGAATTTTGCAGGGCAATCACATTGGCTTGGCTTGGTTGCAGAAGCGCATTCAGCTCTTGAACATCGTTCAGGGCTGTTGGCGCAAGACTGAACGTCGTGGTCGGGTCTTCCTTTGCAGCCACTGCGAACTGATCGAACCCTCCAGCAACAGCAACAACTAGATTTGAGAGTACGAGTACCGCAAAGAATGCGAAGTACATCTTTCTCGTGGCAGTAAAAGGAACGGAGTTGGAAGCAGAGTAGATTGCTTCGAATTGCTGAAATTGAATCAGATCTACGACTTGTGAGCTGTAAGGATGGAATGATTTTATCAATCAAATCTCTGAATTCGTGGGAGATCGTCCATGTCACCAGGTGGTGTAACAGCTTTTTGATCAAGTTCGCCGCCAAAAGCCAGAAGATGCAAACCAGTAGGGTTGGAAGGTGAGATCTTTGGATTGGATTGGATTCGATTCATTCGATTGTGATCCCATATGTGGTACTACCACGCGCGCACGCAAAGCCGAGAATTAAGCGGCCTTCCCTTGCGTGATACATATACCGCACCTTGCGGTACGGTAAGCGGTTTCTAATTAAAGGACAGACATAGATACTTAGATGGAGTTTACTTAAAGACGGTGGTCGAAAGGTCACGCACCCGTTGAATGGTCGTATTTTTGGGGAACAGCAGCGGAGAACGGTGACGCCTGTGCGTAACCACAAGCGCACAGCCACACGTACTTTGATTTTTAAATTGCAGGGAGATCTGGTAAAATGAATTTTGTAGTAAAACTTCATTGTAAGTAGTATCTTTAGCCTCAAACTTACCCCTTCTAGAGCTTCGAGGCAGAGTGAATGATGAATCAGTCTCCCCTTGCGTGACGCACCTTGCGGTACCATACGAGGTTCCTGGATACTTAGGAAAACGAGGTCACCTGTAAATGTGCTGTCTTCGTACTTGGGGAATCTTCAATCAACAAAAGGGCAGGGCGCGCACCGTGACAACCCTGCAATGTTCTTGCATCTCCCTACAACTACAAGTACGCCTGTGTGTCTCCACCACACGAAAGCTACAGTCATACCATCAGCTTAGCTTGTCGCCACGACAAGCCAGGAACCGCCCTTGCCACGGTATGGCTTCGAATCCAAAATACAGGGTGGCCGAGTTTGGATAAGATTGCTTCACCAGATCCTTGAGAAAGCACATCCAATAGTGGCAAACTCCTTTGCTAGGATGTTAGCATTCAATTGGCACAAGTACCGCACAAGCAAGCCGTTCTCCATCATGATAAGCGGTTCTCCTTTGTGACGGACTTGCTTGGATTGGATCGAATCCTTTCCAGATATCAAGCAGCAAAATCTGGCAGCCTGATCATGACAACCAGCCATGCCCGTATTCTGTAACGTAAGGCAAGCAAACCACAGGATCAAATCCATTTTGCCCGATTCGAATCAGTTGATTGTTTGCCAGCCAAAGAACGTCAAGAATACTCACAATTCAAAAAGAAGAAAGTTTAGAAAGGAGGACATTGGAAGCTACCCCGTAACAAGATGAAGGTTGCCCAGAAGCTTTGGTTTCTGGCAGTAGTAGCCTTGTCGCTGCACCGTAAGTAATGTTGGTCGTCTGTCACATCCGTGTGGCATCTCTGCATTCGCACTGAAGCCCATGCTCTCTGTCGCTTTCGACCGATCGCTCTGTAGGCACCGCTGCTAGATTGTCTTCTGTAGAGGGCGCTTCCGACCTAGGTGGGAGTGATAACGAAGCAAACAATGAGAAAAGAGTAAGATCATTGCACATCATTTTGTGTTACAAAGTCCTATCACATGCACTCTCACATCAGTAGCGATGCCACAACAAACAGTCTCTTCTCCCTGCTATTCGATCCAGACATGGTTTGCGCCTTGAAAAGGACGTAAAGATGGTGGAGGAGAGGAAGTTGAAGAGTTCTCCATCCGAAAGCGAGCAACACAAACCCACAAAACCAAACAAGACGAAGGGGCACGCCGAACCCCACAGCAAAAAGAAAGACACAAAGGACAAGAAACACTCGGAAAGTGACTCGGAAAGTGACTCGGAAAGTGAATCGGAAAGTGGCTCGGAGAGTACGAGTATTGATCTTGGTGAGGTCGCCGGAAAAATCTCCGAAGGCGCCGAATATGCCCAAAAGAGTCTCTCCATGTTTACTTCTGCGCCCGCTGACGAGGATGAAGAAGATACGACCGACGCGGACGAAGAGAGCGATGGCGGTGAAGAGGAAAGTGATGGCGGTGAAGAGGAAAGTAGCAGCGGTGCCAGCGACTACGTGGACGACAGCAACAATGGCACTAGCGAGAGCAGTAACAGCTCCGCCGAGAGCAGCGAAACCAGCGACAGCAGCATCGCTGGCTCTGGTGGTAAGGCTGCAACCACATCCTCGACAGTGAACACTGTACCTGGCAATAAAGTGGGTACTCTGTCCACCCAAGGCAATGCCGATGGCAGTGCGATAACTGTGACCTTTACCGCCAGTGTACCAGTTGGTTGTGGTAACGGTAGATGCAGCAGTGGAGACAAGAGCGACGAGGATGTGAGTGTGCGAATGTGAGATGTTCGACAGTGTCACTAGCTAGTCTGCTTCTGATAAAACTTATTTGTATGAGTTTCTCTATGGTTTAGGTCAACAATTTCCAGTACGTGACAGCCATTGCTTACATTGGCCGCAAGGACAGGTGCGAGCCTCCATTTCAGAAAGTATTAGCAAATAGCAGAAGGAAGGAGAAGATACATGCTTGCGTTTCAAAAAATTCTCTCTTTGGACGACCCATTACTGCGCTGACAATCCAAGACTTTAAATCCTGTCAAAGTGGCTTTCATCTTGAAGGGACTTTGGGAAAATCTGATGGCAACTTGAACCAAGGAAAGGGCCCTCCCATGTACCTGTGTGCATCCAAAGATAAAAGCAACGGTGACTACATCAAGAATATCCAAGTCAGTGATTTTCGTCCGGCTGCATTTGCAAGGCCTGTTGACTTGGCCGGACATGATGACGGGAACCTCAACTTTGGGACCGGCAAACACGGGCTCTGGATAAGCATTCCAGACCGAGTCGCCTTCATGAAGAATGCACCTTATTGTGGTTCTTGCTATGGTGCCAACACAACCGCCCATCAGTGCTGCCAGACATGCGATCAAATCAGAGATGCGTACAGGAAGGCTGGTTGGCGAAACGACACTGCAATATTTGTTTCTGCTGCCCAGTGCATCCGTGAGGGGCTATCAGCAAGCCCAACATTGTCACCTACATTAATGCTGGACACAGCGCCACGAATCAGTCAATATGGGCCTCCTGAATCTCCTAGTGTGTCGCCACCAACACTTCCCCCCACACCACGACCAACTCGTCTGGTTGGGTACACCGGAACAGTATGTTTCATTGCTTGCTGTGAAGTCACTGCATGACTAGAAATCTTGATGTTGCCATATTGTATGCTGATGCCTTGCTTTTTGACTGTTTTCACTCAGGACTATGTAACTGCCATTGCACTTACAAATGGTACATGCGGTCCAGCATTTGACTACGCCAAAGATGAATATGGTGAAAAGGTTGACTTGAATGAAGCAGTCGTAAAGGCAAAAGAGTTGAATCATTATCTACAGACTGTGAAAAAAATTTGGAAGGACAGAAAGAAAAATTACCCCAACCTTGAACAGAGCAGTCATAGGGGTAGCTTCATTGCAATCACGGCTCTTGCCCCCAAGTGGGGAAATGTGGCCGACTCTCCACCTGTCTTTCTTTGTATTTCAAGGAACCCCATCTTTGGGAAACCTATCACTGGGATTCAACTTGTAGCTGGTGGTGGGAAATGTGATAATGCGGAATCTTTGTACACCCAAAACGCAGGGTTGTATGGAGATACGGATGGGAATCTCAACCAGTATGACATGAAGAACAGAGAAGACTCTCTGACAAGGTTCATTCGCTTGTGCTATTCCAAAGACAAGACATTGGCTTCTCCTATCCAAGACGTCCAGCTGGTTAGAACAAAACCACCTGAATCCCAAAGACCCGATATTGTGGGCGTGGATGATGATGGAAATGTAATGGGCATCAGAAAAGCATTCCTTGAAAAGAAGCTTCTGGAAAAGTGCAGAGAGAAAATGCATGGCGCTATCAAGGCTTTTGATGATAAATGTGATTCCCGTAATTGGTATGTAGTTGTGGGTTGGGTGGAGAAAGGCTGCGACTATCATGAAAAGTCAAAGGTCGATGCTTTCAACCAGTTCCGGGCGAAAGCTCGGGAATATGCCAAGTCTGTCCCAGGAATGGGACTGTGGTTCAAGATTTCACGAGCTCCGCCAACACCAGCTCCGACATCCAAACCTACAAATTTCCCAACTGCAGCACCCATCATGACCACACCCTTTCCTACGATCAGTTCTCCAACCAACATGGTATGAGATTTGTTGTGGCTGGCATGAATCGGAATGCTGGAACTGCCGCTCACAATTGTTCTGTTTGTTTTTCACGTAACCACAAGAATGCCAACTATGTCACAGCCATCAAATTCACCACACTCTCTTTTGGAAAAAAAACTCGTCCTGATTGCAAAGAAAACTTTGAGCCACTTGGAACCGAAGGGTGCTCTCTGTCTGCGGATAATGCCACCTTAATTGATGGCCTGAATGGGTTCTACGTCTGGGCTTGTCTTTCCAAGAATCCTCTCTATGGTGCACCTATCACTGCCCTTGCTGTACAAAGCAATAACACCTGCCAAGATGGCTTCCAGCTGGCAGGCACAGCAGGTAAAACCACAGGCGATTTGAACAAAGGAGAAGGTCCTCCGATATACTTGTGCTATTCAAGAGATGAAGGCAGGGGTGGCCCAATGGCATCAGTTACTCTGTCGGATACAAAGCCAGTTGAAGCTGAGAGGGCAGTCGATTTGGGATCTGGTGATGACGGCAATCTCAACTTCGGCACAGGACAAGCAGGAATTTGGTTCAAATTCTACTTTGCCCCACCAACCCAGGCTCCTACATCAATGCCTACACCATTCCCCACTCCAGCTCCCATTGTGTCTACTCCCTTCCCAACCATTAGCTCTCCAACCAGCAGCATGGTATGTGTTGAATTATTCCTTTGTCTTGTGGACTTGGCTACTCTCAAAAGCTGACTGCTGCATGTTTTGTTTTCCTTGCTGCCACCTCCAGAACACCAATTATGTTACTGCACTAAAGTTCACCACATTGCACTCTCTCAACCCTATTACTCTCAACACTACTACTCCTGACTGTGGAGAAAACTTTGAGCAGCTCCAAACTGAAGGGGGTTCTCTTTCCACTGATGATTCCAGCCTGAATGCTGGCCTCACTGGCATCTACATTTGGGCGTGCCTTTCCAAGAATCCAATGTACGGCTCACCTATTACTGCTCTTACGGTACAAAGCAGCAATGTCTGTCAAGATGGCTATCAACTCACAGGCACAGAAGGCGAAACCACAGGAGATTTGAATTCAGGTGAAGGGCCTCCCCTGTTCTTGTGCTACACTAGAGGTGAAAATGCAGGCAGCTCTCTGGAGTCCATCACTCTATCAGACTCCAAGCCAGCTGACACTGAAAGGGCTTTTGATTTGTTGTCTGGCGATGACGGTAATATCAACTTTGGCACAGGTCAAGCTGGGCGTTGGTTCAAGATCAAGCGGGATTGTGGTTCCTGTTATGGTGCCAACACGACTGTGCAGTGTTGCAATACCTGTGAGGAAGTTGTGAACTTGTACCATGCCCACAATTTGGTGGCTGATCAGAGTGGTTTCGTCCAGTGCGAAGATGAATAAGGAGCGAACGTGGAGGAAGCCGTGACGCTGATTGGACCTCGTAACAGCCTCCCCTGATCTTTGAGTAACTCATACTGCATTTATAGTCTTACCTTGTGTCTTCGTAATCGACCGTCTCGGGTACCTCCGGACCTGCGCTTCTCGCTCCTCATTATTACTCATTCAGCATCCCGACAGCTCGAGACATGATGCTGCTGAATCGTCAATGGAGCAGAACCCAAGTTTGGTATCCAATGAGGGATCGCCAGTCTCAACTGCGCCCTCTTGTAGACCGCTCCGCGAGGGCTGGGCTGTGCATGTATCTCGAACCTTGCTTGCTTTTGGTCGGCGTAGACTCTTTCGTGGATTGTCGCACGTTGACGCTCGTGTTTCGCGGCAAACGAACGCACGGACTTAAGATGCCCTCTGGGTTGGCACGTTTTTTGTGCTCCGAGACGATCGCCACTAGCTAGAAGACACCGTTTACTGAATTTCACGTCGTGCCGACGTCGACGAAGCTTCCGCGCACGTTTTTTCATTTGGGTCGAGGATCCAGCGATGCTTGGAGGGGGCGGTGACAAGCTTGGCAAGGCGACCGTTCCGACTGATCTCTTGATTTGATTTGCATGGTCTAGCTAACATCCAAGGAAATCCTTATCTGTATCTCTACACTAGCTACATGTAGGTGGGTTATCTTGCATGGCGAGAGTGTTACCGTGCCGTCCAGCCGTCCGGAAAGTTGCGGCCTAGCTAGTACGGCTCCTCGACTTTTCTACAAGGAGCGCGGTTCCTCTTCTTTCGAGCACGCACAGTTGATCTGTAGTATATTAAGTCTTCCCTTAGTCGCGGTCTGTTAAGTAAAGCAATCTTAGGAGGCCAAAGATCCAAAAGACATCCAGAATGCCTTGTGACCGCCAAACCTCCAACCAAGCAAAAGATCCGAGCGAAAACCTCACACACGTCCGCTTCTCGAGTTTTTACAAGATCCCAACTAACCCAGCAACCACATAGTTTCTCGATACTGTTGGTCTGTGCAGGCATAGAAAACAAAAACAAAATCCAAGCTCAGTCTGAAGCAACCTAATTGGATTGATACAAGCAAGCGGAAGAGACACAAAAGGTAGATACCCCTGAGCGAAGCAACAGTAATAATAAGCTACCCCAAAGAAAAAAATGACTCTTTCCTGTCGGGCTAGCCGATGGGCGATGGTACTGGCCCTCTGCGTGTTGCCAGGTACAGCCGCTGCTGCTGTTGGAAATCTTAGACGCGGACTCCATGATGATGAACCGAGTATTACGGAAGAGCAGGAAAAGCCCAGTCCAGTGATTGTGTCGGTCTGGACCAAGCCCGTGATGGATTGGGATCCGGAAACGGGGTTGGAAGAAGGACCCAATATTGACCTTCTACAGACCCTGAAAGAGGTGAAAATGGGCATGGGCGATGCCATGGATTTCGACATGAACGCGTACATTGGCAGTGGCGATGGCGTTTGCAAAGATTTGACGGACAAGGAAGGCAATCCGTTGGAATCCGATGCCCAGAAGGAAGTCTGTGACGATTGTTGTGCCAATAACCATCGATACTGCGAACTTCCACCCAAGGATAAACGGCACTGGAACCTTGTCAAGGGGAGGCAGTTGCTGGAAGAATCCCTCCGTCGTCAGTGTATCTGGAGAATGGTCCACGAACCGGACGAGTGGAAATCCACTGGCAAATATTTTGATTATGTCAAGACACTCCGAGAAATTCAATGCGATCAGAAGGGATACCGCAAACTCTGTATTCAAAATGTGCTGCAAACCCTCCGAATTGGAGGTAATCCACTCAAGCAATGTCTTAAAGATAATGGAGGTGTCACCGATGACAACGCAAACATTATCTTTGACGAAATGATTGGGAAGCAACAAGTTTTCAAGATGGACGAGAAAACGCCCATGCCGGCCGTCTATATCGGAGGTGTTCTCCAGACAAATAACACCGCAGCTGCCTTGTTGAGCGCCGTCTGTCAGGTGACTCCTGCAGAGCTTCGACCTGCCGATGTTTGCGACGATATTGTGGATGCCGTGGGGGCTGATGAAGATCCCGAGGCTGGAGCCAAGGCCGAAGAAGAACTGGTGGAGGAAATTGCCACTGAATTGGGAGAAACACCAGAAGATGTCAAGGGAGAAAATGCCTCGGAATTAGAAGACAAGTTGGAAGAAGAAGAAATCAAAGAAGGCCAAGGTGACGCTGAGGACATGGAAAAGCTCGCGGAAAATCTTGGTACTCAGGATGAAACGGAACTGGAAAGCGGCGGAGACCTATCCAAGGTTGATGAGGAAACCATTGAAGTCGAAGAAAAGGCATTGGAAAAGGAAGAGGCAAAAGATGCCAACATCGAAGTCGAGGAACCCAAGTCGGTTCAGCCGATTGTCGAAGTTTGGACCACTCCTCTGTTGGATTGGGATATGGCTTCACTCACTGAGGATGGTCCCAATGTGAAACTATTCGAAATGTTAAAAAGTGTCGTGACGAGTTTTGGCAGCGACATTGACTTCCGTCCACAACCCTATCTCTTCAGTCAGGCCGAAATCTGTACCGTTGACGAAAAGGGCAACCAACTGAGCGATGACGATGCTGCCAAATGTGCCGACGATAACTGCGCCAACAATCACCGATACTGTGGATTTGGCCCTGATGACTGGAAGGTTACAGGAAAGAGCATGGTCGAGGAAAGCGTGCGACGTTTGTGTATTTGGGAAGACTACGGCCGCGGTGGTGCGGGATCAGGTGCCACTTCCTACTTTAGCTATCTCAAAAAATTCCATTCTCACAAGTGCCAACAAGCCGACGACATGAACATCTGTGTCACCGAAATCTACAAGTTTGTGAATATTGAAGCCACCAACGTGGACGCTTGCATGGCGGGAAGCGGGGGTTTGGACGTGGACGGCGAAAATTCCATTTTGGCGCCTCTCCTAAAGCTACAGAAGGCAACTTTCTTCTTTCATCATCTCAACCCCATGAATCTCCCAATTATTCTCGTCGACGGCCAGCCTCTCGAAGGCGGGGCTGATGTCTCAGCCGCGGACTTGGTCAACGCAGTTTGTCCCAAATTCACGTCGGATCCAAAACCCGCCCTTTGCCAAGAAGGGGCTCTAGCAGCCCTTATTCCAGGATCGGAAGAAGAAGCAGCTACCGAAGAGCCTCCCACGGAGTCTGAAACTCCTGCTGATGATGAGGAGACCAAAGCCACCAAATCACCAGCTCCTTCAGCAGCTCCTTCATATTCCCCTTCAAGTGCCCCGTCGGCAGCACCATCGACACCTGTTTCAGAAGGAAGCGAGGCGACGGAGGAGCCTCCAGTTGAATCAGAAGCGACAGAAACGCCACCAACCGAGGAGACAGAAACTGAGACGACAGAAATGCCACCAACTGAGGAGACAGAAACCGAGGCGACAGAAACGCCACCAACTGAGGCGACAGAAAGTGAGGCGACAGAAACGCCACCAACTGAGGGGGCACCAGATGTTCTCACCCCGGGAACACCACAAATGCCGTGGGGTATGTCGTCGGCAATCACTACAGAGCCGCCCCCACTTGATAAGGCAGGGGAGGAAACTTTTAATACCCCCGTCACTCTCGACAAGTCCAAACGCGGAGACGATTCAAACTTTGACATCAAGGCATTCGATTCAACGTTGAGCAATTTGGGTATGCTTAATACGTGCGGGGTCGATACAAACGCTGTCTACAACAAAGTGATGTCATTGGCTGCAGGGAATATGAAACAGGAACTGGAAAAAATTAAAATCGATCTTCCCATGCTCATGAGCCAAACCTGTGAGAAGGATATGGGTGTGGACGTTTTGCATGCAATGGATCAATTCCATGGCTGTGCCAAGTTCAATCTGCAGTCATTGATCGAAAACCTCCCAAGCGCTGCATTTGGCGTGGCTATGCGATGCGCCAATGCGTACTCCAAAATTACCCCAGAAGAGGAAGCCAAAGGATTCATTCCCGAGGACTGCATCCGTGCCATCGAAAATGACAGTAGTTTGGGTCGCGCGACCTTCGCCTTGTATCTTTATCCCGACCATGCGTGTCCCTGTTTTGAAACGTTGGGCGAGAATATTCCAGAATGTACCGCGGATGTGTGGCCCATTCCTATCAACGGGGCATTGGTCAAGGTTCAGACTTGCTTGGTTGGACAGTACTGCCAATCCATTGACGCGCTGTGCGAAAAGCATCTGGATACCCTGAATAAATGTCTCCCGGCGCACGACACCTCAAATTCCAAAATTACTTGCGGAGAATGCCAGGCTGCTTTCTACGACAATGTACCAAAGATTTTGAGTGCAGCTCCTCTGCCAGATGCTTGCGTGCGAATGGCGGAGGGTTCCAAATTTTTCGGATCACATGTCATGGAACGTTTCGATACCTACCGCAAGAAATGTGGCACTAATCTGGAACTGTGGGAGGGACATACGCCAATGGCCGAACTCAAGAACTTTGTGATGCAAGGCGTGAAGGAAATCGATTACAAATCGAACCAATTTATCGAGGGAGCCGTTGTTGGATTTGCGGCCGGAATTGTGTTCACCATTGCTTTCATTATTGTCCGGTGGATCCTCATTTGCGTGTGCAGTTGTCTGTCGCGCTGGTTTTGCTGCTGTTGCAAAGGAAAGAAAAAGTCGCAGCGTCCAAGGGCCAAGGACTATGCCACCGTGGAAACGGAGACGGACGAGATCCCAGAACCCGAATACAGGGATTAATTAGGCTGTGTCGGCTGTGTGTTTTCGTTTGGTGGATAGGTAAAATGCTTGAGTTGCGTGCAAGTACATAGAAACGACAAGAAATAAATCAAGTACACATTAGCGCTTTGTTTGCTGGGCTTCCTGCACCTCACTATGGTGGATTGGTTGCTGATGGGCTCGACCAGCAACGGTCAGGATCTCTCCGTTGCTACTAGCTCTACTAGTAGGGTACTACAGCTGTAGTAGCTTCACAAATGATGAAAGAACACTTTTGGGCAAGTTGCCAATTCCTCATGGGGACTGTAATGTCCAAATAGTGTCATTCATGTATTAATTTCTAATATTTAGCCAATGGAATCGATAATGAGGGCCAACTATCGTCAATTAGCTGCAAATCAAAGGAATGTGTTTTCTCTTTTTAGAATGTATTAAATAAAAAGCTTCACCATTTGTGGCTAATCTATGACAATATTTTCCCAATAATACTTTTATGTGGAGTATAAAGGTAACTATTAGTTAATAGTAGGAAAATTTGTTGGAATAGAGGACAACAACTTCCCACTTGGTACGGTCCCTGGTACATTCCATTTCCTGTTCACTTTCAGTGGCCTCTTCAAAGACAATGCAGCACCCGTCTTTTAACAAACAATAGTCCGCCTGAATGGCTTAAAAAAGATCGTATCTTTGAGGTTAAGGTTTACTTCCAACGGCTGTTTTTAAGTCTGGGCGGTCGCAAACACGGACAATGATGCTTGGGTGAGCTGGACTACTACTCTACGGTAATCACCCTCTTCCTCTAGCTAGACTACTGTACTACTCTACGTTCTTCTCCTGTCGGCCTTTCCTTTATCTATCTAGCAATCTAACTAGTTCTGTACCTGCACGATGTTCAAACGAAAGAAGAAAGACAAAAACAAGGGCAATGAGGATGTCAGCGAGGAAATCAGCGGTAGCATGATTCGGCAATCCGCGACGGTGGAGCCTCGTGCTTCGTACAGGGTCCCCGCGGAAAAGCCCAAACAACAACAGCAACAACAACAAGTCGAAGTGGATGTCGACGGCATGGAAGAAATGATTGTCGAAGAAAAAGTGGAGAAAAAAGTAGTGGAAAAGCCACGGCCCCGACCACCCCCGATATCACCACCGGCAGCCGAAGAAGTGGATGTGGATGCCATGGAGGAAGAACAAGATCGTTCACGTCACGACGACAGTCCAGCAGCCAATGCCGCCAAAGCCAATCATATTGCCAGCAGTGCTGGAACACAGCGTCTTAACCGCATCATGCGAAATACGGCCGTGCCAGAGAGTATGGTCACGCCACGCATTCTCGGTGGAACTGCCGAAACCAAAGTCCATCACGTGGAACGAGTGAGCAATCCGCATGATTTGAATTCAGTGGCAAAGTTCATGGAGACTGTTGTCTGCCCTCCGCTCAAGGTGGATCTTCGATCCATTGGAGGAGACCATCAGGACAACTATCAAGAACACAAAATGATGCAAGAGACGCTGCTCTGCTTCAAGTTGAACACCTTTGAGACCAGTGGATCCACCGAAACGGTACACATGGAGTCGCTACAACGACCCGCTGATTATCCGAGACACAAGCGATCATTGGGCTTCTATGGCGGGTCGGTCGGTGGAGCCGGTAAAGGAACCAATCGCAACAAATTGAGATACGTAATGATTGTCAGATCCACAAACTGGCCACTCATGCAAGAGCGAAAGAAAGAACAGGCAAAAAAATATTCCGACTCTCAAGAAAAGGAACCTGCGGAAGCCGATGCCAACAAAAACCCAGAGGTGGTCAAGGAGGATGATATTGGATATGACACCATGTACACTCCGGATTCGGCTCTCCCTGGTGCGGGAGACACACGACGTGGCAGTTTGACTGGCAGCGTGCGGGAGGAAGGAGCCGGAAATGCCGAAGCTGATCCAGACGAAGAAGAAGAAGAAAAAGATGCCAACGCTCTGATTAGCAGTGGTAGCAAACATGACAATGATGCTGGAGTAGTGGATGACGATGACTTTGAAATTTCATCGTTTCCTGTTTTGGTGTGTATGACACTCTACAGTGATGGAACCAACCCGGATATTCGCAAGCTTGTGCCCCTCAGTCAGTTGACCAGTATCCAGGATGTGCAAGCCACGGTGTTACAGTTGGGCTTCCTTGACGGTTCTTCCATTCGCTGTGACTTTTCCGGGGAACAGAAAAACGTGACGAATGAACTGGAGGATGCCACGGCCATCTCTGGATCCATGCAGAAAGAGCGATTCATCTGGTCTCTGCTGCAGATTCACGCCATGCTTTGTATGACCGTTGTCGATGCCTACGCTATGAAAGCCTCGCAAAATCGATCCGGGCCAACAACACCCACCAAAAAGACCGCCGCGGCTATCAGCCTGCCGCCACTAAATGTTCGAAATGTGGACAAAGCAGAGCTTCAATATGTTGCCACAGTCAATGGCTTTCTAAAACAGTCGCCTACCATTTGTGTTTTGCTGGATCGACAGAGGTTGTTGGCGGAAGACATGCGTCGTGACGGCAGTGATGATGTTGGTGCAGGGGCGGCAAATGAAAGCATCGCCAGCCCGAACAAATCAGCAGAGGATGCTGACGAATCTGATATGTCCAAACGCAAACCAGCCATTGAAGAAATGGATAACTTGGCCTACGATGTGATGATGGGAAACTTTGCTACTCGGGTTGCTATTTTTCATTCTGACGAAGAACGCAAGGATGCAGAAGCAGTACTGAATTCCACCCAATGGACTTCCAGTCTCAATAGCGAAGACACTGCTGCGGCCTCTGCAGCAGAAAGATTAGGGATGGTTTTGCAGCGCCGCATGCGTGATTTGGAAGCGGAAACGTGCCGCCGATTGATTGCCTGGGAAGATGAGAAGCACTACTCTGTCTCCAGCAGCATGCTGTCATCCAAGTCTGCCAATCGAGATTCGGTTGATGCATTGTATCTGGAGTCACTCTTCAACACACTGGATGGCTTGGACAAGGAACTGCAGAATATGGAACACTGGCTAGGAGAGCGTGGCGCGGCAATCAAGCCCATGACTGATGATTGCCGAGATATCGAAGAAGAAAATCGCCAATTGGAACAGCAGTGGAAGTCATATGATATGTTGGGATCTGAGCTGCAACGCCTTTTGAAAGGCCTCGAAATACAAGATGACTTAGACTTGGTGCTAAACAACCCAGCATCTGCGTTGGTGTACGACAAGGAAGGCAGAATTGAAATAGATGACAGTCAAGATGGAGTCGACAAAATTCATGGAGCAGGGCGAGCGTTGCAAGCTGCGATGCTGCATGTACAGAACTCGGGGGGTCTCCATCTGAAAGCTGTCCTGGAGCGTTCTGATGCCTTGGAGAAGGCAGCTAGCTCGTTCTGCACAGCATTGGCTCAAATCATTGTAACTGTCATGGAACAGTTCAAGACAGATGTTGTGGCTGGTAGCGACTATGGAAAAGTATCAAAATCCGATACTCACACCATGATTGCAAAGAAGATCCGAGACACCCAGCGCAAATTCCAATCCTCTCTTCTTGGATACATCAAATTGATTGAAATCTTGGCAGAACTGAGCCCCGAGCTCTTGCCTGCTGTCAGAGATGCGTATTCGGAGATGGTCGCTGAAGGAATCATGATGAAGAAAAGAATGAAAGGATACTTTCAAGCTCTCCCTGGAAAGAATGCTGCCTATTTGAAGAATGTATCTCGGGATCTCAAGGAGTACACACCAAAATTCAAGACTGACACAGAAGGGGGCGGAGAGGTTCCTCCCCACCAAGAGGACACTGTGCATGCCGATGACATCCGATATGCTTTGAGTGAACTCCTGCCCGTGATTGCTCGTGAAGCCTACTTCACCGCTGCTCTCTTTGGGCTGAGCAACAAGGCTCAGGATGGCCGGGACAAGAAGAGAAACTTTGAGGCTGCCAAGAAGAGTGTGGATCATTCCAGCCAATACTTCAACTACTACATTCAGCGAACTTGTGGTGTCATTCAAGACTTTGACCCAGAAGCAGCAGCCAACAATCCAAATGCCATCAAGGGAGATCCCATGCTGTGCCTGGTGGCTTCTATCCACTTGAATGAAGCAATGGAGAACTACATTGACCGTGAAAAGAAGGGTGGCGATCACTCCTTGTCTCTAGCCTACGTCCGAGCAACCATTTTGGAGTTGCGCAAGAAAGTGGACAAGCAGTGGGTGTCGTGGGTTGAACGCCAGATTGATTGGATCCGAACACATCCCGGAGTCCCAGCAAATGGAAAGCGGGCTGGTGTGATTCCTAGTTTTGCCAGGTTTCCAGTCTACCTGGATCACATTCTGATTTGCTGCCGCGAAGGCCGAAAAGGTGACTATACTCCTGATTTTGCCAACATCAAAGTTGTCAGCTACTACTTGCAGAAGATTGCTATTGCGTTGCTGGAGAGCTTGAGAGAGTGTGCTGAAAGGGACAGCACCGAGAAGCAGTATGCGGCGAATGTGTTGCAGATGGAGAACACATACTACTTCACACAGTGCATCAAGGAGCGTGGTCCTGAGATGTCAGTACTCTTCCGCAAGCCAATTGTGAGAGCAAATGCCACCTGCAAGCAGAGTACAGATGCCTACCTTGGCTGGATGATCAAACGAGAGTTTGTAGTACTGCATGACCTGTTTTCAAGAATCTCCAAGAAAAGAAGGGAAGCAGGTGACCAGGAGGTTTTGCTGGAAGTGCCCAAGACGATGTTTGTCAAGACACTGCAGAAAGAGGCCAGCAGAGAAGTGATGAAGGAAAAGATTGGAGTGATGTATACTCGGATGGGCAAACACTTGTCGGATGAGGGAGGCCTGCTGCCTGTGGCATGGAAGGCACTGGTAAAGGTCCTTTATGAATGGTTTGGACGCTGGGAGAAGCTGAGCTCTCAATGTTACCAGCACAAGTTGGATCCAAGTGCTGTTGACATTGTCCGCATTGCCAAAGCAGCTGGTAGTGGAAATCCTCCGAGTACAGTTGACAAGAGTGCCAGCAGTGCCAACCCTACAAAGAAGTCCATTCTGTCACGTTAGCGTGAGCCACAATAAGAACTAATATGCATGTCAATCTTTTATGTATCTTTAGTAGCTGACATTGAATGATGTAGCTTATGCAGTTTGTGTGCAGTGTCCGCCTTCTTTCTCGGGCAGATTAAAAATTCAATTTTCTCTCTCCCTGCTGGACAACTGCTAGTTTTCGTCTTCGGCTTCCGAGTCGAGTTCTTCTGTTTCAGACTCGCCATCGACGCTATCAACAGTCGGTTTTCTGCTACCGCTACCGGCTCTCAAAGCTTCCAAACGGCGAAGCCACTTGAACTTCTCTCGGGGAGGGAGCTGATCAAAGCTCTCTCCCATTTCAGGTTGAGAAGTCGCACCCGACGGATCCACTGCGCTTGTTTGCCTCATCCAGTCCAGAAACTTGGGAAGACCCATCTCCTCAACTATCTCTGACAGGGCGGACGAGGCGTCGGTGTTGTTCCTGGAAATGGACTCGAGTAACGTATCCAGGCTAACCACGTCCTGCAAAACAGGGTTGTCTGCTTGCGGCCCAAGAGCATGCATGGCTTCATAGTTCGCGGCGAGGAGCTTGTTAATAGCGTCATGGTTGGCTTGTTCTCGAATCGACATTGCCTGCTGAAACATCCACCTGGCACTTGTTGATGGAGCGGCAACAATTTCGGCCAAATCATCCTTGTGTAAACAATGATTGTCGAGGGCTTCTGCAACGGCATTCGAGATGCGTCCAACATGCCGAGCTACCGAACCCAGTCCCTCAGAACTGAAAGGACTCTGGATGCTGCCAACATCAAGGATGCGATTCCAGCGAGGTTTGTTCGAGGACTGTCGATAGATTGGATAGTAAGCCAGCATCACTCGTTTCACGTCCAGATCAGTTGCAGGGTCTTCGATCGAAGGCTGACGAATCGAGAGCATCCTCCAGTAATCCGCCATCAAAGATTCCAACGATGGTCGCTCCTTGTCTGTGTCCAAGTATGTGAACATGTACGTTGTCTTAGTGCCGTCTTCGGGCGTGGTGTTGGCTGAACCCATCAGCGAACTGAGGAATCCGTCGTTCGAGGGAAGCGCATCCCAGAAGTATTGCTCCTTTTTGTTTTCACTGTCGTCGCGGAGTTTCAGAGCTGAGGGTGTCGTTTCTGTATCAGCTTTCGACTCCTCGTTGAAACCAGCAGCCATCGATCCCACCACAGCGCAGATTCCATCTGGCTTCATACCATACCTTTGCTGGCGAGAAATGGGAGACTTTCCTCCCATTGTATCAATGATCAGGGCCGCTGTGATAGGTTCTCGGTGTTCACCGAAGTCCACCGCTGCGCCACTGTACTCAGACACAGCTATACCCATCATGGGAGATTGAGTGAGGATCGTCCCACCGCCTTCCTTGAATCGCATTGCGACATTCTGGACTAGAATCTCCGGCGAGAGACGGACGCTTTTCATCTTGAGGTCTTCAAAATTAAACCCAGGAGAAATCATGTTCACGGCGTCTTCGATATCTTCTTCAGTTAGGACCCCCAACCGACGCAGTTCGAGCAGGTCTTCTGCTGTCATTTTCCATTCCATTTCATCGCCGATCAAATCGCCACCGTCCACAATACAGACATCAAATCCTTGGAGTTGCAAGGACATCGCAAAGAACACACCGATTGGGCCACCAGCAATGATAACATCATGGTCAAGCTCCGTATCTCGCTGCGATCGGAGCTTTTCCCAACAACGCGGTTGCGACCAAGTGGGATCATCGGTCACGAATTGATAGGGTGGTGGCACACCGTGTTGGACTTTTTTCAGCCACTTTGTGTCGTAATCAAACGACTGAGACGCCTTCAGTACACTCCATTCCTTTTCGAGCTTTTGGAAAGCATCCCACACCGTGTACCTAAAAGCGTTCATTTGTTAGCCAACCAAACTAAGGAATGACGGATCAATCCATCGTCAATCAATGCAGCTTACGTACCCTTCTGACAAGTCAGCTCGATTCAGGATTCTTCCAATTGTGCTCGTTGGTTCGATCGTGCCCACATCGATGGGATCCTCGACTTTTTCTCTGTCACCGACATCCAACACCTCCCCTATTGCTTGGAACAAACTCCTGGTCAGATGTGGTTTGTCCTCCATTATCGACTCCACAAGCTTGACATCTCTCGATAGACTAAGCGATGGGCCATTCCTGCCGCCTGACTTGCCACCATCTTCTTCCAGGTCGATCACAAGCAATGCCGGCTCATTCAAGTCGACGAAGAAGGGAACGTTGACTCCATCTTCAGTCACGCGGTCTCGATGTGTATCATAGTCCGGTTCCTTGGTTTCCTCCTCTTCACCGCCGCCAAAGAAGCGCCGTTTCGCGGACTCCACAACTTTTTCCCAGGCTCCAGGACCATCCTGCGGGTTGAGCGCGTCATGTAACGCCTGCTTGAGCCCTGACGAGTCCACGTCCGATTCTTCGACAGCTGTCATCGCTTGTTCGTATGCCGCAAGGGCATCCTCGATTTCTGAAAGCAAATCATCGTTGGAAGAAGATGCGTCGGGATTATCCTCTCCTCCATCGCCAGCTTCACGAGTCGCCGTCGAGGCCTCAACATCTTCTTCCACCTGTCCAGAGTTTTCCGCAGTTGCCTCACTCTCGGCTGTGACTACTACGGGGGCAGCATCTTCCTCATCCATGGTCTCCTCTTCGTCTGCAGTTTCAGTGTCATCCTCTTCTTCTAATGCAGTTTCAGTGCCATCATCTTCTTCAGCAGCAGCAGCATCAACATCCATGCTGTCGGTTGGAAACATGGAATCCATGACAGCTGCAGAAATCATATCGTCGGAGTCGTCTGTGGTAACCTCTCCAACCCATGGGATGGAAACGTTTTTGGTTTTGTCTTCCGTGCTTTCTTCCGCTGAATCCATGACGGCTGCAGACATCATGTCGTCGGAGTCGTCTGTGGTAACCTGTCCAACCCAAGGGATAGAAACCTTTTTAGTTTTGTCTTTCGTGCTTTCTTCCGCTGATACCTTGGACTTCTTCTTCCTGGCCTTCTCTTTCTTTTTGTCCGACATCAAGTTCTTTGCTTTGCCGGTTGCGTTCGCTCGGTTCTCTTGTTTTCTGCTTGCATCTTTACCCGGCTTTGGCTTCGCCTTGCTGCCTACAGTCTTGGCGACTCCTGTCGCTGTGGGCGTCTTCTTCGCTGCTTGAGCCTTCTTCTGCGACTCAGGAGTAACTTCCGGTTTCCCATTGTCGCCCTTGGATGCATTTCCCGTGTTTTTCGGTGACTTCTTCTCGGGTGGTTCTTCGGTTTTCGTATTGTCTTCTTGAGTTGCTTTCTTCTCCGTCTTCGAGGGAAACTCGGTTGGGGCCATTGAGTTGAAGAAAACATCCATGATATCCATACTTTCTTCTGCTTCCTCTTCGTCAATTTCTTCCTCTTCCGTCTCAAATCCTGGTGGAGCCATCGAACTCATGTATGTTGCAAACATGTCCTCACCGCTCGTGCCCAAGATCGCCGGTTCAATCGAAATTTTTTCTTCCACAACGCGACTCTTGGCAGGAGAGCTGGGCACGTCTTCCGCCTGAGCCGCAAAAAGGTCCCTTTTCGCTTCGGCGGTTTCCTCATCAACTTGAACATTCTCAAAAGGCTCTGCTCTGGACTCTGGTGCTGATTGAGTCGGTGGTTCCACCGATCCTGCCCCTCCTGATTCGATAGTGACTTGTCCAACAAACGGGCTTGAATGCTGCTCCTCCGCTTGCGGCTTCCACCATTCAGTCTCGTCACTCGTGGCATCAGCGGTAGAACTCGGCCAATCACTTTCTCCCATAGTGTCAGTGCTCTCTTGTGGTACACGCACACCGTCGCTGGAGACTTGATCAAAACTTCCAAATGGCACTTCCACTGGTGGTGGTTTCGGCTGTCCCGGCGTGTTGGGGTCCCACGCTGCAAACTCGCTGTCTACAAGTTCCTTCTTCGGGTCTGATTTTTGGGATTCCGTCACCCACGACGGCAGGTCGCTGTAGGATTCGATAGAGCATGAGATCAATGGCTCCATTGATGCGGCCGAACCACCACCACCTCCTCCGCCTACAAATGCACTTTCAGAACTGGATATTGGAGAAGGACCGGGGCTATTGGGGAAAGGGCTGCCATCTCCCAAGAAAGCATTAATGCTGGCACCTGCTTCTTCCACAGGGCCAGAATCAGCAAAGGCCAGACCAGGGGGGAGCGTTGGCTCGTCAACAAACGGCTCTACATATTTCTTCTTGACGTTGCCGTATGCATCCACATCATCGTTCGATTCGTCGAAGTTGCCAAAGTTGGGAAAAGATGCAATGAATGCCTTCTTTGGTGGTGGTGCCTCTGCTTGTGGGGGCGGTTGATGCAGTGGTGGTGGCTGCTCTTGCTGCGCCACTGGCTGTTGTTTCTGTGGCTGTTTCTGTTTTGGCGGCTGCTCTTGCTGCGCCACTTGCTGCTGTTTCTGTGGCGGCTGCTCTTGCTGCGCCACTTGCTGCTGTTTCTGTGGCTGCTGCTCCTTTGGCTTTAGCTTAGAAGCTTGCTTCACTTCTGTTTTCTCCGCTGCGGAGCTTTTTGTCTCTTCTGGTGGCTTTGGCTTGGGAGCTTCCTGTTGTTGGGCCGGTTTAGGTGGGGGTGGCTTTGGAATTGGCTTAAAAGCCTCTGCCCCCGACACCTTGTACGCTTTCATGTCTTTAATCCTTGGCACAGAGAATGGATCCGACGGAGGCTGCTCGTACTTCACCTTCGGAGGCTTGTAAGCTTCCTGCTGTTCCTGTGGCAGGTCTAAGGCGCGTGGCTTTTTGGGAGCAGCAGCAGCAGGTGGACTCGCTTTCTTAGGTTCAGGAGCTTCTTTCCTTTCGGGCGGGGACTGTTGAAATGCTTTCTGTTGTTCCGGTGTCGCCGTTGCAGAAGTTTTTCCAACTCTAGGAACCGAATACGGATCCGACGAAGGCCCCGCTGCTCCTGCCGCCGATGCCTGGAATTGCGCCTTCTTCTCGGGCGGCATATCTTGAATTCGAGGTACATCAGCGAGTGGGTCATCTGAAGAAGGTCCATTCGGCTGCTTGCTGACACCCGCAAACATGGCATTGCGAAGCGCCTGTTCATCAGTGCCTTTGGAAGAATCAGCACCGTTCGGGGCTTGAAAGGCTCCCGGCGACATGGGTGCCTGCCCTCCTTGATTCTGTTGGTTGGGATTGTGTTCCGGTGGTGGATTTTGCACATTCCCCAAACTTGTGCCTTGTTGAGGAGGCGCATGATCCGCCGTATTCGGAGGTGGCTGTGCCTGATAAGCTCCCATGGCATGCTTTTGGTCTGGTGGTTGCATACTATCGTTTGTTGCCGGAGGCTGCTGCCCTGGGGTTGCTTGTGCCTTTGGCTGTGAGCTAAGATCCGCAAACATGGCATTGCGAAGCGCCTGTTCATCAGTGCTTGTGGAAGCCTCCGCATTGTTCGGGGCTTGAAAGACTCCCGGCGAAATGTCTTGTGGTGGTGGGGGTGCATGCCCTCCCTGAATTTGTTGGCCGGGATAGTGTTCCGGTGGTGGTGGATGATGTTGGTGCACATTCCCAAACGTTGTAACTTGTTGAGGAGGCGCTTGACCCGTAGTACTCGGAGGCGGCTGTGCCTGTACACCTCCCATGTTGGGAACGGTATGCTGTTGCTGCGGTGGTTGCATACTATCGTTCCTTGCCGGAGGCTGCTGCCCTGGGGTTGCTTGTACCTGTGTCGGTGGCTGCTGACCTTGTTGTTGTTGTTGTTGATGTTGTCCAGCTTGTTGTTGGGAAAACTGGCTCAGTTCCTCTTGCTGTTGAGCCATGGCTTGTTCGTATGCAAGCTGTTGCCGTGGCTGCTGCTGTTGTTGAGCCCAGAATTGCGGATCGGATGGATCGTCCATGGGAGACGACGGCTGAAAGGCTCGCTGATCCGCCTCCTGTTGCTTCTTGTTATACTCGTTGTATTCCTGTGCCGCCTGGTCAAATTCCTGTGGCTGCCATTGATTCTGCCCATTCCATTTAGGATTTGAGGGAGCTTGTTGTTCTGCATCCGGTCCCGCGCTCTGTCGCAACGCTTCGTCTTTTTGCTGCTGTAGAAAAGCATCGTACGCCTTTTGCTTTTCCAAGTACAGTTGATAAGCTTTAGCGGCATCATCATTGACCTTGTCAAATTCCGATCGCAATGCTGCTTCGTTGGGTTCACTGAAATGACCTTGCTGTTTAACACCAAAATAGGGATTTCCTTCCCCTGGAGGAGGTGGTTTGTACGGCGGCGGCGGGGGTGGCATGTCGTCGTTCTTGGCCGATCCTAGCATGTCTTGTACAGCCTGATCTTTTTGTTGTTGAAGCATAGCTTCGTAGGCAGCTTGTTGTTTCTGGTACTCCTGATAGGCATGTTTTGCCTTTTCATTGACCTTTTCAAATTCGTCCTTTACGGAATCTTCATTGGGAGTACTAAAGTGATCCTTGTCCTTGATTCCAAAGTAGGGATCTCCTTCCATGGGTGGAGGTTTGTACAACGGTGGTGGTGGTGGCGGCGGTATGGGTGGTGGAGTTTTGGAGAGTCCCGTGGGAATATCCTTTGTTGTTGTTGTTGTTGTTGTTGTTGTGTCAGCAGCCCGTTGTCGCAGATAATCTTCCTGTGCCCGTTTGGCCTGCTCCTGCATATCGTGCAACCGTTGGTCTTCATTGGGTCGATCAAAGTCGGAATTGGTGTTCCAACCAGTATCATTGGGCGGAGGTGGTGGTGGTGGATTTTCGCGTGCATAGTTTTGCAAGAATTCCTTTTGTGCCGCCTTGGCTTGTTCTTTATTGTCGCCAGGCATGTTGCTGAAGAAATCTTCATTGGACTTGTTAAAGGACTCTCGTTGTGCCGCTTCGGATTGTCGATTGAGTTGTTTTTCTTGCTCTCGTTGTGCCGCTTTCTCTGCCGCTCTGGATTCGTCGGTGCTGATTTTGAGTCCGTCGCTGTTGTTTTGATTCTTGGCCAAGTGTTCCTGCATTTCATTGGGATCGCGGGGTCTACTAGCTTCTTTCCCATCTGGTTCGTAGGTCCAATCGGCATCGACAATATTTTTGGTCTGTTGTGGTTGTGGAGGCAAGACGTCGTCGTCTGGAATGAATCGAAAGGACGACTTTTTCTTTTTGGCTTTGGCTTGTTGTTGCTGTTGCTTTGGTGGTGTGGGGGGTGGATTGGATGGTGTGGGTGAGATTTGCTGGAGTGCATCTCTATAGGAATCCATGGCGGAATCTAGCTGTTGTTCCACGGACATGCCGGTGGGCTTGTTCCTAGAATCATCCACTACACGTACATTGGCTGCTTCTCCATTGTGATTGCTCCCTTCGTCGGGTCTCTGATTGATGGCTGACAAATAGGCCTGCATGGTACCGTCCTTGTTGTCACTCTCACTCTCACTACTACTACTACTACTAGTAGTAGTCGTCTGTACTGCTGCTGGCTGTTGTGGTTGTCGCGTGGTGGATTGAAGCGCTCGATGAAAGGCGTCCATGGTCTTGTCGCCATCGTCTGGACTATCGCGTAGTTGGACTATTCTCCTCATGACAGTGGATCGTTGCTTCCCAAACCACAAGAAGAAGCCATTGGTGCCATGCAGCAGCAATAACACAAAAATAACAGTCTGTCGGAGCCTCATCGTTGCAGTGCGCGTTCTCATGATTCGATTGATTCTGTCTTCTTTCTCTCCTCTGCCTTTGTTCTTCTCTCCAGCTCTCGCTCTCTCAGTAATCTTGTTCAGCCAACGAACGAGCCACGAAGCTAACCTTTTGACCCGTATCGATCTGTCTATCAATCTGTTTGCCCTTGTTGGATGCGCTCAGCCTTGGTCCTCGTACATTCGCAATGGAGAGGAGAGGAGTGAGTTTGATGAAGGAAAGAAGTGAGTGATGGGTGTGATGGATGAAACAGGCGGGGTGGTGGAAGGATCGTATCGCGACCTCCAAGCTGGGCTTCTCCAAGCTGGCCGTTGATGTCTGGGCCAGATGGCAAGGCAACTGGCGTCACTCTTTCTTGTTGATCACGAAGCAAGCCTTTCTATTGATCCCGAACTCTAATGGTGCAAGGTAGTTCCACCCAGCCAGCAAGTGAATGGAGTCCGAAGAGGAAAGATTGCGTCCATCCGTTTCAGTTCCTTTTGTGGGTCCAAAACTCGCTACCGGTATTAATAGGTACCGGTACCGGTACCGGTACCGGTACCGGTATGGTAGCTTCGCCTAGCTAGCTAGCTAGCTAGCTAGGGTAACCACTCGCGTCAAAAAGGCCATGGGTGATCGAGACCCGAGAATTGTGGTCTGTACTATTATTAATAGCTAGTATTGGAGTTGCCACCACCCAAAAATGCCAACGCCCGATTGGATCCGATACCAGTCCGAGTGGGAGGTACTGTACCATTGAAGTCAAGGGTAACGAACACGAGAAATCAAGGTGTGGTTGGCAGGGCCTGGATTTTAACACGGAATCATTCATGGATTCTTGTCATCAGAGGCTGTCTGAAATGATAAATGACAATGTGCTATGAACATCATCCATTCAAACAACAAACAGCCAAACAATCGGCAAAGCCAGCTAGTATTACTGGTACTTACGGGCATGGTGACTGCCTGTACCGTACTTACTTGATGAGATCATGAGAGGATGGAAGCGAACTTGAAAGTGTTTTAGATCCCCTTACAACACCTTTTGCAGCAGCTCGACTGGGAGTCAGTACGGTATCTTTTAATCTTTGGCGACCCTATCAACGCTTGATGTAGGAGTTGCTGGTTTGGCTATCGATATCGTACAGGAGCGCCAGAATGGTGAATGGGACCACAGTTTCTGGATACTGGTAGTTATTGGCATCCTCAAAGTGCGTCGTCGTCTACTAGCCTTGGCTTGGCTTGGGAGGGGCTTGCGAGACTTCTTCGAAACCGGATTGCCCTGGACGCCAACCTGTGTTTCCAATTACCAGTACTTTTTTATTAAAAGTCCAAGCAAGCAAACAAGGTGTGTCCAAAGGCGGTACATGTACGTGTATTCTCCAGCCGGACTTCAACCGGCTATCTAGCTAGACTGGCTACAAGCTACTGAGAAAGCTTGCAGCGAACCCAAATCTTTTGTACCGCACCCGAGCTGATGATCAGGTGGAGCAATGGATCCAAATCATCCCGCCACTGGATTCGATTCTGGCTGCCTATAGCTAGCCGGAGAGACAGTCGACTTTCAGCTGAGGTAAATAGTTACGAAAAACCTATAAAAAATACCAGGCCTTCCTGACATTGCTGGCAGAAGCGATGACGAAGATGCTTACTGTCACAGCATCACAACAGCATCAAAATCGGAAACTACTAAGAATCAGTCTTATCTGGGACTGAGGTCGGGGAGCGAAGCTGTGAAACCTCAACCAATTAGACTGCTCTGTTCTTCTTGCAATTGGAACCAAGCCGTAAAGGGGTAGAAGGCAGCAATTTGATTGGTCGATGAGTACCGAAGAACAACAATACGTCAGGAAGTAATTTGAATTATTTAACGCACCATTTATAGAGATTACGGAGTTAACGTGGAATCTTTTTGGAGACTGCTGATGGCTTTGCTGTGTGGTTCTAGCGGCAAAGATGCTTCTCCTACTTTATCTCTTTGGATGTCTCCACTCCTCTCTCTGAGTGGAAGAGGCAGCACTTAATTGCCTGTGAGTCTCACCTGCTTTCTTTGATTGTTTCCATTGTCAGCGATTCAAAGGTCCTTGTCCTTTTTTCATGTATTCTTAATACAGAAGACAGAGTGTGTCTCTTTGGTGACTCTGAGACCAAAATGTCTGGCCTTACAGATTGGACAGTGTCTGATTGGATCAAAGACTTCTGCTACTCCATCCTCTCCAGTGCTGTTTGGGTCCTTCTTCTTGGCTCTCTTGACTTGGATTCGTTGTTTGTGGGCGAGTTGGAATGCTCTTCTTCTGTGGTGGATTCTATTCTGACTCTGGCAGCCCAATCCCTGTCATTTTTGTGTTGTTGTGCTGCTGCATCTGCTGCCTGCTGTTGGTGGGTCATGGTGTCTCTAGCATGTTTGCCTTTTTGGCCGAGAAATGGACGTCGAGTGGGAGCGGCAGAGCCTGTCATGGTCGAATGGATGCGACGGAGATCCTCTTCTTTCTTCGTGAAACACGAAAATCCTTGAATTGGTAG